TGAAAAATAAATAAATCGCGGGACATTCGCGTGACGGATGTCGCGCGGCAACTTCGCATCGGCGAGCGATACGTGTCATCGTTTCTAACACCTCTAGCTATTTTGTATCCGTTGCCAAGAGCCACACATCCTTAACAAGTAGCTTCCCACAAGAAAGTATTACGACGCATATTCTTCATCTAGAGATCATTAAGTATTAAAGTTTCGTAGATGTAAGGCATATTTTTTATGTAATGCTTTTTCTGTACGCGACAAGAAATCGTGCTCTTGAATAAAATGAAAAAAAATGTTTTCAAGATGAGAAGAATGGATGGATCGACAGGACTGGAAATCTACGCCTCTCTGGTTTTCCTCAAAAACTTTATTACAATAATCATAAGTAAATTTTTTTATAAAACGACGTAGATGCAATATAACAAGATCGTTGTATTGGTCATCATGAAAATAACAAAAGATCGTTAATTTTTTTTACAAACGCATGGCAGTGACATGCCGATTAGTAATCCAAACTATCTAAAGCACATTGCGATATCACATGATTCTTGGAGATTCAAATAATAATTCACTAGAATTATTCGTTTTTAATGATTATTTTTTATCATCGCTATTACGTCTGCAGTTATAAGCAGTTATACAAGATGGCATCGCATTATTCTACTGTATATATACACATTATGCAAAATTCAGTAAAATCAGCGTTTATATCCTTCGTTTGGCCCTATCTTTTTAAAAAAATATCACTTATGTACAAATATATATGTGCATATAATATTAACTAAGTATTTTATTAATAATAATATCAAATTAAATTATTGAATTCTCATGGAAAGCATAACACATTGCACATTGGAATAATAATGAGAATATTGTCTTTCTTTATACTTCAATGCCAGCATTGGAACGCTTACCTTTTTTGATCAACATCTGCTCGACATTCAATTGCGGCGGTTCTGTCCGCGTATGCCACACATACACCTAAGATACAACATTTAGATTTTTACAAGATTCACAAGTATATTAGAAAGTTATCGACAAAATTTCAAGTAAATTTCTCGATACCTTCGTGCAGCAGTCTGCCAGCGGCTCTAATTGATCCTTTGTGACTATTTGCCTAAGTATCTCGCTCTCCTGATAACCACCTTGCACATCATACGAGAACCACGCGTCAGTATGTTTGAGTAAGAGTTCAAGATTAATTGCGAAGCCTGCCATGTCGAGTGGAAACGGTCGGTCCGGTTTCCACGCCGCGTTAAAACTTATTACTTTGTTAGTGACGTTGTCACAAATAGGCTTCTCTACCATTAGACCACCGACTAGGCCAACCGGCCAAACGCCGACTCTTTGTATTTTCTCCATCTGGAAGTAATAATTAGTAAGTATCTAAGTAAAAAACGTTCAAATAATTAATCGAGCAAATGACGATTCATTTTTTTCTAAATGTTTTAAATTTTATCTTTCAATTTGGTATCAAGAAAAGTAATTCAATTACTTCCGATCATAATTATTATGTAAAAAATTGAAAATATAAAATAAGTAAACTGTTCTGAGTTAAATCGCTAACTGAAAGAAAAAGAGATGTTTCAAAAATGATCGCGTGATTTTATTTATAAAAATTATTCTCCAAAGGCATCCGCCTCACCTCTTGGAAGAGTTTGACAGAGTAAGTATTATCATCGTCGGCAAAGTAAACAACGCCTTTGTTAGACGGTTTGAGATTCTCCCTAAGCCATCTAAGCGCCGCGTTTCGTTGCTCAACCCCGCGTGGCTTCTTCCAGTTTGGATCGTTTCTGCCGAGCTTGTAATTCGGTGGTGTTGCCACGGCCAGATGGGTGTAGATAAGACCACTTGTCTCCAGAAACCGGGAGACTAGGGCGGTCTTCTGCGGGGCATCTTCCACGATGATCCAGTGAAAGTTGGACAAGTGGAGGAATGTCTGTGCCAACCGGGTGAGTTCGGCCTTTTGCACGGGCCTGGCAAACGTAGGCGTGATTGCATAGATCACAGGCCGGCTACCCTCGTTTTGCCCGCGGACATTCTCGACGAAGAGGCCGTGCGCCTCCAGTCTCTTCAGCAAGCTATACGTCAATCCCTGCACGTCTCGCAGATCCGCTATCATCGGCTCCAGCTTGGATCTTATCTCCTGCCACTTCTTATGCTCCTGATAATCTGTAAAACATAATTGAAGTTATTAGCGACAATATCCTTGGCGCTACTCTTTTTATCAGTCCCAAACTTGCAATGAGCACCGCAATATACAGAAAATTCTACTTGAGTGAAGGGAAACCTGAAAGAACGAGGAGTCATAGCGAAGATGCAACATGTATTATAAATAGCTAAAGTATTATGACGTCACCAGGGATTTCGAAACAGTGTTGAGCAATGACAGTAATCTGTACTTACAAATATGTGCACATTGTTTATATACATGAAAAGCTAAGATATTGTATTGCATCGTTTGCAATAATTAATCATTATTTCTCTTTCTTCTTCTACATTAGAAATAAAGGCTTTATTCGTAAAAATTATAATATTGACGATTCTACCAGAGTAACTTCAAACGTATTAAAATTAGTAGCGATTCAATATTCTTTTACCATTCGAAACCTGATTATAAATCACAATTCTTGATAATAATCATTCAGATTTTATCACAACTTGATCATATCCAGACAACATTATTTGTAAATGTCTTTTATCTATTTAAAAATATGCTGATAATAATATTCACATGAAGTATGTTCTCGCAAGATATATTGACGTGTTAAAAATTATATAGCAATTTTAATATATAATTCGAACAAATGTAAACATTTTGCAAATTATAATATATCAAAACCTAATTAAAACCGTTTTAAATCTCGCGCCAAAACCGCACAATGCTCATCAACGGCGCTCACTATTCATTCACTATTCACGCTGTTGCAAGCATGTACGAGTAAAGGTTAGTTGTGGTGACGAAAAAGAAATGTGATAGCTGGATGAACACTCACATACGATACTTTGGAAAATAATCACATTTAACAGGACGAGTATTACGAAAGCCTTATTGCAGCGAAATCCGCTCCACATACTGGCCTTCGTGCTAGATTCGTCGATGAGAAACAAACTTTCAGTCATCGTTGTCGCGCCATGACACTGTTCTGCTTAACCGATCGCGCTGGTCGAAATGCCAAAATTTCCTTTTTGTTCCGCCCATGGTAAACTTTCTCTGGTGAAAGGAACTCAGTGCGCCATCGTTTTGTACATACATTTCTAACAGCCAATGAAAAGTTAGTTAACGTTACTGTTATAAAAAATTGCAAAGTCATTATCAAATTGTTTATTATAAAAAGTAATGACACAGTAACGAGAAAGTAACTTTTTTAACAACCCTGACTGACATTCAATTTATGCCACAACAAAAATAGTTTCAATGTACACAACTCATCTAGAGAAGTTGTCTTATATAATTTATGAAGATAAATAAAATTTTCGAGTAAGTAATGTTTTGTGACGATCGTGGAGTAAAGAGTTGCGTGATTATTCTTTGATAAAGATCAGGATTCAAAAACACAAGACACATATATTCAGATTTTACTTGATTGCCACCTCTCAGAAAATAATAGCAAACCACTGCGAATATCTTTGTTATATAAATCTCTTCTCTATCTATAGAGGGTACATGTAAGGAATATAACGCATGAAGACGTTTTTATAAAAAAGCACCAATTGAAAGGGTAATTACGTCGCAACATTGTAATGAATACTTATTGGCAGCGTACAGTAAAACGTTTATTTAATTTATATCTTTTAGATCTGAAAATATAATCCAATCAGCACGAAAAAAGTTGCCAACAGTCGCAAAATAAACATTCTGCTGAATAATGCAGCTGTTAATTAAAAGAAAAATTTTCACAGGAAATACCAAAGTATCTGTAAATTTAGCATATCATTTTATTGATATAACGAAAATAATCATAGTTTCAATAACATTTTTCATAGTTCCATAGTTTTGCATAAAAATAAAAAAAATTTTTTCATTTTTTATACAAAAAAAAACTGAAATGATATAATTAATGTGTTAACTTTGAAGAGTATTGTCAATTCTTTACAAAAAAAAAAAATACAAAACCGAAAAACCACATATTAGAGAAAAGTAGAAGCGAATCAAGCGATTTGTGAAGCGAATCGAATCGAATCCATTGTGAGGATAATGTTTGCGAATTAAATTTGAGTTTCTTCATTGTACAGTAGAGATAAAATTTAGTTATTTTAATTACTGCTATATACACACTTAGCTGCTATGTTACCCTAAAACTTTACGTTTTATTCGCGGAAGGAGAGGTTTTAAAGGATTTAAGGGGAAACAATTCTTCCAATTTCAAAGAGTCGAGTTTGAAACTACAATATTAAATTCAGAAAGAGAAATATACCTCTAATAACACGGTTTAACAATATTTTCCAGATATTTTTCATTCTACACCATCACTTGATATCACTTCGAAGAAAGAGAAGAGAAGAGGGTAAATTTCAGTATTTCACCGAGCTGCAGGCAGCCACCCCTAGTGTGTCCGCGCAACCCCAGGTGACGCCAAGGGTGCTCGAGACCTGTGAGGCTCGCACGTCGCGCGTTCGAGGGCGCATACCGAAGTACACGCGTGCTACGGTCACGCGTACAGCGTCTCCCTAGGACAGTCAGCAACGACAGCGACTGCTCGACGAGGGGTAGAGAGGGGGGGGGTGAAGAGGAAAAAGGGTAGGATGGTAGGGGACAGTGGAGGGAGGCTGGCTCCGCTGGCGAAGCCAGCAACTAGCAAGGGTATCGCGCAGCCACACCGGCCACTGCGACGGCCGCGACGGAACGAGCGTGTTGCTCTTCCGTTACTCCTTCTGCAACGTTCGTCGTACGGCTCCGTTTTTTTTTTTTCCGCGCGACGGCACGATGTGAGGCACGCGCGAGAGCAAGATGATCCTGTCCGACGATCGTGTGACATGATGCGAGACCCGGCGGGACGAGCTGCGATTAATTACCAACGGGGGGTGAGTCGATAGCTCGCACTCGACGAAAGGTGGGAGAGGGGGATACTAGGGCGGAAGCGGGATTGAGGGAGAGAAAGAGAAAGAAAGAGAGAAAGAGCGAGAAATTCACGGAAAGCTCACGTGACATGCTGAAGGGGTGCGAAACTGTCTGACGGTACATCAAGCGTCCGCTACTACTCGCCGTCAGTTGCTTGTTGTGGCTGTGACAGGCTGTCACGACGGCGACAGCGGTGGCGGCGGTGGTTCGCGGTGGAAGTGGTTGTGGTGGTGATCGACGGCGACGACGACGAGGACGACGAAGGATTACGCTGCGCCCCTGCGAGCGGCGGCGAGACGGAAGGAAAGTGGTAACATCCGAGGTTACGAGGCCAGGGGAGAAAGTGGGTGTTGCCTGAGCGACGGCGACAACGAAAAGATCGCCCCGGGTCCTGCGGGACATTAGGCCAGAAGTCCTGGAGGTGTTTTACATAGGGAGCGGGAGAGGTAGAGACGAATGAAAGGATGCTCGTTGGTCGTCACTCGTCTTCCTGGAGTCGATGTCAGCCCGTCGATGTTGGCCTCCTTTTCGTCTTTCGTGAGTAAGCCACATCGAGTATTTTCTTTCCTTTTTCCTTTCGTTTTTTCCACCCTGTATATATATATATTGTATATATATATACATCAATATACGCAAAGTTTATTACGAGGACGAGTCATGTCGAGTACTTGTGATGTACACGAAATGTAGAAATTGTGATTCGCTGCTTATCGCCTATTGCGATTCGCCTTTGTCTCTATCTTGGAGCGTGTACCCTAAATAATACTCCTAGAATGTTATACGAATATTATTTGCTCCCCTTTTAACATACACAACATTCTAGGATTGTTGTGCGCTTATTGGGTAATAGCTCAATCTCGCTCGCAACGAGAGAGATCGTTTGAAACTTGTCGAACCGCTCGCGCTTCCCGAACGTCGTTGTTCAAGGATAATCAAGGGTGCACGCAGCATCGCGCTTTGCCGCCGAGGAAATAGAGGTCGGATGCAAATTATGAGCGTGGATGGTAGGCGGATTGCACGCCGGGCACGGTAATTGGGGCGAGGGAACTCCACTCCTCGTGCTAGGACGCGGGCGACGGGGGAGGGGGGGGGAGGGGGAAGGGGGGAGAAGTCACCGCGGAGAGATACCGCTGTCTCTCGTTTCCCTCGCGATTTCTCTCCCTTGCGGCCTCACCCCCGCGTCGCCCTCGATTCTCTACCATCCGCAATCCAGTCTTCCTCTTTTCATCTCCTTCGGTGTATCTTCCTTTTTCTCTCCCCTTCTCGCTTTTGGTTCCAGACTCATTACCGGGATCATCAGTGCGTGAAGCATCTCTCTCGCGAATTCCATACAAACAATGAGGAAAGGGGGTTACTGTGCACGATGTGTGCACGCGCCCTTTGCTCTCTCTCTCTCTCTCTCTCTCTCTCTCTCTCTCTCTCTCTCTCTCTCTCTATGCCCTTCTTCGTGTAACCCTTTCATCGTCGTACGTCACGAGTACCGTACTTAAATACCAGGAATAATACTTGAGGTTTATCGACTGTCCAAGAGGGAATCTCTCTCTCTCTCTCTCTCTCTCTCTCTCTCCCTCCCCTCTCTCCCTCCCACTCGTATCATTCTCCTCTTCCTTTTATCACCGCATATTCATTGCTCCCGAGCGCCGCTAAAGAGAGATATTATCTAAAGAGAGATATTATCGGATTACTCCCTTTCTCTGTCACCTTCTTTTTATCATTTTTAAAGAGTCGACAGAGAGGCGGAGAGGCCGCACGCTAACTACATCATCGTGTCCCAGTGAGTCACGGCTTTTAAATTGATTCTCTCCCCTCTTTCTCTTTCACGTTCAGCCTCTGCCGCTATTATACGGAAGTAGGGTACTATCTTGTCTCGTCTGTGCACACGTGAATCGGAAAATGTCAATTTATTTAAATGCAGACTCCCCGATCAACCGCCGAGCAATTCAATGAATTTCTCCCTGACGCGCCTTAATTCTCAACAATTTTATATTCGATCGTTTTGTACCGTTATCTTTAGATGCGGGAAGAATTTTTCGCTCCCGATGTTTCTATCTTTGATTTTTGAGAGAGGCAAAAATAACTATACAATATAACTGTACTAAATAATTAATATCTGACAAAGATGTAAGCATATTTTCCGCTGTATTGAATCTGTTCCGAAAGAACAGGAAATTTTGGGGGGGGGAATTGGAAGAGAATGAGAATATCGCTGTCCTTCTTTTTTTCTCTCTTACTCCGTGCTTTTCCTTCACGCTTCCTTTTATTATACGCGTGTGTACCTGCGCTTCAAATCTGCCATCGACGTCTCTCCATCCGTCGATACGATTTCTGGCATGTCGATTTTATGTGAGCCGGAAATGTATATCCCGCGGAATTGCCCATGACTGCGGCATGGACGGCGTCTAGCATGGTCGTTCAATAATTTAGCAAGGTTACGGCTGCTGCCGACACCATCGTCTCGGTAACCACCGTCGCGGTAAAGCTCGTAAGAAGTGATCGATCAATGTTCCTTCTCGATACTTTACGGCCACCGTCGCCCGTCAATCCCTTTTTCGCGTGCGTGCCGCTATCACACTCGAGGGGATTATAGTCGCGCTATTCTGAGTATCTACAAAGTAAATAGCATACTTGTGTCCTATGAGTGGAAATTTCTCTAAACGTTGGTAGAATCATGACGACGCATATAAACCCGTATGTTTATAGTTATAGTTCTAATATAAACTTTCTATTTCGATCGTTTCGCAATTGGATCGTTCTTTTATCCTTTTGCATAATTTCCAACAGTTCTATTAAAATTTAAGTTAAAGTATTTTTTGAATTCGTGAATAGTTACTTTTTTATAGGGAGAAATAGGAGAAGAATATGAAATTTTTCGAAATCGGAGTTTATCATTAAAATGTTCATATGTTAGGTATTATCTACTTTTTTGCAAAAGGCATGACGTTTCTTGTGATCGTGAGGGAACAAATACTGCAAATCTGCAACAATTGCAGTGGAATTGCAAATCAATCATTAAAGGTTGATGAGCAAGCGGATTTACGCTGATAGATCGTAACCCGACTGGGTGGAATACAATCTACTTAGGTTTTTAAATATTGT